GTTCAATCTAAAATGCGACCAAAGGGCTAACATAGCCAAACTAAGACAGGCAAGGACAAACAGAGGCAAACAAGAGCAAACAAAGGCAAAACAGCAGCTGATAAAACCCTTGGTGTAACGGTCTTTGTTATACGGATACTAGGGAGATCAGCAACATCCACATTAAGCCAAGGCAGGCAAACTTGGCATAAACCTCAACCAAACAGATACCAGTACGCAGGGAAGACTCAGAGTCACAAGGAGCCCATGTGGCACTCAAACAGAGACAAAAAAAAAGGGCAGCCATGATGCCACAGGTGCTTTAAATACCCTCAATCAGGGGCTGGGCAATGGGAGGAGCTGACCTAAATCTGACAGTGTGTTCAAGGGCCATCTGGAAATACCAAACTTTCCCAGACACAGATGCTCCCACTACACACACATGTACAGTACAACACAAAATTTGTCTGTCCTTCTCTTCAAATTATAAGTAAAGACACCTGAAAATATTTCTAGTGTAACAAAGCATTACAGTTTTCATTTAAACAGTTGTAATCCATTTTATCAGAAGGCTGATCATAAAGTGTTACGGGAAATTAGAGACCCAAACAGTAAACATAGCAGACCAGCTAAACGTAAAAAGGTGTTTATCTTTACACAGGATGCACAGAATGAATATACAAGGTAAGAGAATTAGAAAAGGACGAATGAGTTCACGAGTGATTTCTGTAGGAAGCAGGCAGAATAATCTGACCATGAGGAGGGAGAAGAAACTCAACCTGGAAGTGTTAATGCTAACAAGAGCTGGATAGCAGATGGAGAGTAAGGAATACAAACAGGACAATAACTATTCTGGGGGTCGGTGAGGCCAGCAACTGCAGATCAGAGACGTGTAGCTCCAGATCCAGAGACATCCGCAGAGAGAACAAACACAGGACCCCTGGGGATAACACAGAGTTAGTGATATGTAATGATGATATTTAAATCTGACCAAAACCAAAAAACACAAGGCACAGTACAGTGGCAGGGAGTAACAAGTAATTACACTAGTGGATCATCAGAAACAGAATGCGCAGCACTACACAGAACCTGTATGCACAAACACAACTATACTCTGGATATCACTCACTACACTAACGAATGCTACGAGGGAACTAGCAGAAACAAGCTACTCTACTTAGCAGGCAGGTAGAGGTAGGGACTTAAACTTTTGTTTATAACAACTGTACATATGGTGAACAAAAGTTTACATAAAATTTACATGCGTTTGCACACGTAATAATATAATGTTGCTTTTAAAGTAAATGTCGCTTTAAAAGCAATAAAATAATAGTAATAATAAACTTTTAAAAATATTTAAAAATTAAAAAAAATAAAAAAAAATATAAAAATAAAAATAAATTTAAAAATAAAAAAAATTATTATTATTATATGTATTCTTCTTTTTATTTCCCCTTTTATTTTTTTATTCTTCTGATTTATTTTTGTAATTTGCCACTCTCACTACTCCACAGAAAACAGTACAAAACAATGAAATACATGAGCTCAGCAAATAGAAAACCAACATCAGGAGAAATCCCCATGGAGATGAGAGCAGTGCTTATCCCTCAGTCCACCTACTGGGAATAGGATGCCTTTAATACTCCACAAGACCCAAACACATAGTGTGTGACAGGCCCATTAGAGAGTGGAAAACAAACACAGAACATTACACTGTCACAGAACATTCGTTGACCTACACGGTATAGTACACAAGACTAAGAACTCACTTGGTAAATCCTGGAACATGGGCTTACAGACAGCTTTGACGTAAACTTGTCCTGAACAAGAACTTGCCTGGACGTCGTCTGTATTCATCTCTTTACTGGTTTGACCATGCGAATAAAACAGGACCTGACCAGCGATGTGGTGTTGAGATTGGGGTCAGACCCCCCCCACAGTGTAGACTGCTGATTTGCACATTTCAGTGAGTTTCTTCTTGTTCCTCTCTTTTCTGTTTGCCAAGAGTACTCCAATGTAATAAACTTTTCACAATGTTAACATTTTTTGAGATATACTAGAATATATATCAAGTGAAATCAGTGTCATGTGACTCAGTGCAGTTTTGTCCTTCTTCACAGGACGCAAAACAAACACAAAAGTCAAAACAGAATATCCCAAAATATATATTATATAAAATGAATATACTTATATTAACAGTTTAAAAAAAACACACACAACTATTACATAATATAAGATTACAAACAGAAGACACTGCATACTGAAAGCCACAACTTAAATGACTGGTTTACAAAAGAAAACAATAAAATAGCCCCAGCAGCACTTCTCCACTTGACTCAGCAGTATAGAAGTATAGAACGGCTCTGTGAGGAAGCTCAGGAGGAACAAAAGAGAAGCACAGCATCTGTATTTTCACAATATTTTTAAATTTTGTTTTTTAAAAAGCAGCACATAAAGAAAAACTCAGTTACATAAAATTCACAAATATAAATAATTCTTAAATGTCAAATGCAACTGATGAATAAAAATAAATAAATAAATGAAATGCACTTTTTTTTTGGGCTCCATTACACCAGTCAAATGTGTGAACAACGTAAGCCCAGCATCATTACTGCTGCTTCATACCACTTTACCAGTTATTTCTGGTAGTTTCATAACCAAAGCTACTGGTTAGAAAGTCCACTGGTGTTCCATAGAATTTTTTTTCCAATCTCCCTGCAGCTCTCAGCTTGAAGCCAATTGGTTGCTAGCAAAGATGTTCATGTAGCTTGATAAGTAGAAAATAGTGGTGTAATGAATGTTTGCCCGACACACTGCACTGGGCTAGTGAAGTGAAAGCAACATGTAAACAGCAGGAGACGTGATTTAGAGGAAATGCGGGTGTATGTGGATTTAAACCTTTCATAATTATAAACTAAGATTGTGGATTTTCCCTCAAACCTTTGCTCTGATTATTGCAATTTTTACTCATGAATGTTTATCATTTTAGAGAATCTCTCATAATATCTATCTCAAGTTTCCAGGGCCTTTGAAGAGATGTAGTGTAAAATATATCACGTTTTGGATAGACAGACAACACTTGAATTACCAGTATCTCCCTTCAACAAACCACTGGGCCATTACAGTCAGCATAACATGTATCAGCTTGATTTTCTATTTCAGAAATATATAATACAGAACTGGAACATTTAATGCAATTTTAATAAAGGCAGCCTGACTGAATGAAACATACATATAGTGCAGTTTTAAAAAATGACAAACATACAATAATATTAAAGAAAAACACTCAGCCGCCTGCATATGTTTGCTTCTGTTCACAGCTGAATTAAGACATTTGATATTATGTCGTCAGTAATCATTGTCTTAAAGAACACAATCCCTTCTGCTCTCCGACAGCATTTATTTGTTCCTCTAGAGACGTTTCTGCTGCTTCTACCCTTCAGCATCATTTGCTGCGTCCTAAGTGTTGTGCTTGTTCCTGATAAACTGGCTACGAGGAGTATTTTAAGTGCACAGTAACATGTTTTTAGTCAGGCATTTTATCACTGGCTTAGATAAAGTCTCCGTGCACAGTGGCAAGAAAAACATTCCCACCTTGCGTTTCTTTCACTCCTTTCTTTCTCCACGAGCCTGCTCTGTGTCAGAGGAGCTTCATGTTATCTGTGAGTGCTCAGGTTAGATCAGTGCTGCTACATTCTTCTGTCACTCAGTGGAAGTTTGATTAGAGAATGTAAAGAAAGGCTTTTATCATTGTGAGTCTGAAGCCAAAGGAAAATAAAAAACCGTGGAGGAAAACAAATCAGAACAGATGAGAAGTACAAAATACAATAATAAAATTAATAACAAATAAAACGATTAAAACTTTCATGTAATCATTGCTTTCATGTTTCCCTCCCAGTGCTTTTTAATGACATGCTGACTTATCCTTCCTACTCCAGGAGTAAACTGTGAATCTGAAGTCGATGAGTGTGAGTCCAGTCCCTGCCGCAACGGAGCCATCTGCCACGACTTAATCGGCATGTACTCCTGCGAGTGTTTGCCTGGGTTCGACGGCATCAACTGTGAGGTGGATGTGGATGAGTGCGCCAGTGAGCCATGTCTGAACGGAGCAGTCTGTCATGACATGGTGAACAGGTAGGCCAGTCTGTCTGCAGTAGCCCAGTGTGTAGACCAGAGGTGTCCAATCCTGGTCCTCGAGGGCCACAGTCCTGCATGTTTTAGATGTTTCCCTCTTCCAAAACACCTGATTCAAATGATCAGCTCATCATCAAGCTCTGCAGAAGCCTGATAACGATCCTTATATTAGTTAATATTCTGGATAAAACTACAGCCTACATATCACATTGGGGATCATATGTACCTCTATTCATGGATATGAACATGTATGTCACTCAGAATCTACACATCCTGTAACCACAAATGAGATTAAATGATGTAGAAGTATTGTTGTCTTACTGCAACTATTCCAAATGTGTATACTTTACTATGTGTGTATACTTTTACTTTAATACTTTAAATAGTTGTTCACATATAATTACCTTCATTATATTAAATCTCAACTAGAATTTACCAGAAGGCATGCAAGAGACTGTAGAGTGAACTGGAAGAAGGTTCTTTGGTCTGCTGACACCAACAATAAGCTTCTTTTGCCATCAGACTTGACACTATGTTTGGCAGACACCAAACATACACATCATCATAAACACACCATTCCTAATGTGAAGTATGGCAGGGGCAGCATCATGGAGGAAGAATGCTTCTCTGCAGCAAGCCCTGGGAGGGTTCAAAAGGTAGAAGGTACAATGCATGCAGAAAAGTATAGAGAACCCCTGTATGCAGTCTACAAGACAACTAGACTTGGGAGAAGATTTTAATTTCCAGCAAGACAATGACCCAAACCATACAACCACAAAAGAACTACACAATAATGGTTTAAAGACAAAAAAAGTGACTTAAAAGAATCGCTTTTTTTCCCCAAGCACGGTGAATGTTTTTTAAAAATTATTTTATCATTCATTAGCTTCAGCTGTCAGTTAATATTATTTGTTTCACTTGTGTCTTTTGCAGCTATGAATGTGATTGCACTGATACAGGATTTGAGGGCGACTACTGCGAAGTGGACATTCCCGAATGTGCCTCTGATCCCTGCAAGCACGGTGCCACGTGTCTAGAAGGCGTCAAAGAATACAACTGCCTTTGCTGGCCAGGTACTGAATAACATACTGCTTAATGATTATGAACTTCTCTGATTGTGCAACTGTCCATGACTCAACAAGCCCACAGTATGTCTGTCCATGTAGGTGTCACACAAACAACTATTAACTATGTATATCAGATACATAAGCACCATGTAGGATTCCCAGTGAGACGAAAGGTAACTACAAAGAAGAAACTGTCTGAGTGGCACTTCACGAAGACATGGCAATAGTCCATCCATCCATTATCTATACACCGCTTAATCCTCATTAGGGTCGCGGGGGGGCTGGAGCCTATCCCAGCCGACTTAGGACGAAGGCAGGGGACATCCTGGACAGGTCACCAGTCTATCACAGGGCTACACTTAGAGACAGACAACCAAGCACACTCACATTCACACCTACAGACAATTTTAGAATTACCAATAGTATCAAATATTAATTTAGCTTAGCATCAGAACTGCTAAACATCTGTTACAAGTGTATAGGATTTTAGTGGCTGACTGTTCAACATCTTCCAAATGATTCATAGTTACAAGTGAAACTGTAATTATGTTCCATGTCTGCCAATAAATGCCCCTAAATCCTTCAAATTGGACATTTAAAGTATAAAAATATGAGGTTAAAATACAAAAATAGCAAAATTAAAATGCTGTAACAAAACAAATAGTACAGTAACTGTATATTGCTGTGGGAAAACTGTTTGCTTTGTCATTGGTAAATTCATTCTCGTATGGAATATGGAGGAAAAAAACAGACTCTGTCCAGCATCTCTCTGCAAGAGAAAACATGAATGATAGCCTACTTTTAGGAAGACAGTGAAAACAAAGCTTTTCCATCCATGCATAGTTCCATTAGGTCAGTCTACGGTAAATTCCCAGGACCAAATAAGTAATGCTGATTCGAGACTCAAAAATACTTAAACTTAGTTATAATGCTTCGCGGAGGAGAGCAACTAAGCGGCTTGGCTGTACCACGAGGATGAATCACAATCATCTGGCCCTGAGATCTGTGAGAAGCTTGTATTTCAGGTGCTCCACTGATGAGCTGATGAGCTGCACCTGCCAGCGCGGGAAAGTCCTCTGTCCTTAGGCTCCGCCCAGCCTGTAGAGAAAACACACGCCCACCAAGACACAAGCACAGGAGGCAGAGAACAACCCACAAAACACAAAACAGATTCCTTAACCCTCACACAAAAACATTTAAGGAGACATCAAAACGACTACTACAAACATGTATAACATCAAACATCATGACTAAGTAGCGGCAGTGCAATTAATTTAATTGTTCATTTTTACATTCAGTTCTTAGTCTAAACCCAACTCAGCCTTTGATTTAACAGTTTGATAGACTAAGAAACAAAAGAGTTCTGCCATCTTTTAAATCCTTAGCCTGCGGTACTCAAAATCTTCTGGCATAAATGAAATCTGAAAAGACTAGAACCACATTTTTAAAGTTAAAGGTGTAATGGGAGTTTCCTGACAAAGTGTGTTGACATGTGTGTTCAACAGCCATATTCACCAGTCCTGTGCCGCCACAGCTTACCTGTAGTTTCAAACTTCTAGTCACCCTCTGGTAGCAACTTAAATATTATTAGCTGGAAATATGTCAGGCTATGTTTACTATTGATAGCTTTTCTGGCAATTACACATAGTTTTCCAGTTTTATGGCAAACAGTTGCAACATGGCCGCAAATTTTCAAGTCATATTTTCATAGGCTATATTTTCATAAGGCAACCTTATGGTAGATTTCTGGCTAACTATGTGGAAGACTTATCATCATACATGTACAAACAGGTATAGGACCCAAGGATGCATGACTAGAGTATACGGCCAAACAATGTATGTACACTAAAGCACAATAATCAAGCAGAAGTATCCAAGAGGCATAGGCAAAATTCAATAGCCAAAACGGGCAGAATCAAAGATACATAAAACAAAGCACTAGTGGTCACAAAGGAAGGTTGGGACGCTGGCACTGGGGAGACAATAACACACAAGTGGAACACACTAGGGCGGGGGAGATTACACAGCAGGAAAGCAGACTGGGGACTGTCAATTGACCTGAAATTACACAGCAGCAAAGTATGAACATGAAAAAAAGGAGGTGGCAAAATAAAACAGGAAAAAACAAAAACATGACCTAAAAGCTGGAGCTGGATGTGACGCTTATAGCGGGTTTTCTGCAGGTTTACTGGAATGTTTACCGTTTGCAGCAAGTTTACCACAAACTCTATATCTCAGTTCTTTCATGATATTGTAGTGATTTGCACGACTGTCTCATTAAACCTACTGGTCGACTTTCCTCTAGCTCTGTCACCCTCCCATAGTCCAAAAACAATGTTAGGGCTGAGCGATATCCAAAACATTTCGGTGACGATTATATTGGCAGATACTGCGATATGTGTAACAAATATAGAGGAAATGTGTTTTTTTTTTTTATTTCTTTTTCACTGAATAACAAAATATAGAATTGAAGATGTGGTTTTTGCTGAGGTCTGTACCAAACATACATGCTGCCTTACATCTGGAGAATATTATCTATAGTCCAGGGCATCTCTGTATCGTCACAATACCTCATCCAAAATGGTTTGTTGTGACAAATTTTACCTTTACCAAAAAATTGCAGCTCTGCGAATTGGATATTAGATTTGTCGATATTGCGATTTCGATATTATTTTGGTTAATTTTTCACCTCTAAGGCATGGTAAGTTAAATGATGATTCTAAATTGGCCATGAGTGTGAAGGTAAGCATGAATCCCCTGACGGACAGGTTCACAGTTTTTTAAGTCTGTCAGATTTTTCTGTGTTGGCCCTGATTTGAACTGGTGACCAGTCCATCTGCCTCTCCTCCTACCTTGCCACCTGCCTGTCTACCCTCCCTGAACACCCAGTGTCTGCTGTATTAGTAACCAGTGTCCATGCACTAAGAAGCACAGCCCAGTGACATTTCTTCTTGGAAACAGGGAGACGAGGAGGGGTTGCTGTCTCACACCTGCTCTAGAAACCACTGCTACACAAAAAACATCCACTGTAAAATATAAGGGGAACCAGGATTTCCCAAACTCCTGGTCCCCATTCCCATGAGGCACTCTGTCAGAATGGATAAACTCATGCAGAAAATGCTGAGAGCTGTAGGGCTGTCTTGTGCATGTAGTCTACCCATGCACGAGTGCCAATTGGCATAGGCCTGTGTGAAGATCAATTCAAATGGACGAACTCTCTCAACATGGTGGAGATGAAGGAACGCTACTTTTATCACACCAGTAATATGCTTCTCCATTTTGTTACGTTTTGCTTTGTTTTTCTAGGCTATGAAGGACCAGACTGTGAGGTTGACATAGATGAATGCGCCAAGCAACCCTGTGAGAATGATGGGGAATGTTTTGAGCGTTCAGATCCATCTCACTGGGAGCTGGACTGGGAGCTCAGTTTTGCAGATGCGGCTGGATATATTTGCCAGTGTCAGCAAGGATTTGCAGGTCAGTAAAATAAAGGAACCAATCCACAAAGAATTGGACACTTTCAGTTGTCTGACATTGATTTGTTTTGCATTACAGGAGAGAACTGCTCTGTCAACATTGATGAATGTGAGTCTGAACCATGTCAGAATGGAGGCTTCTGTAAGGATGAGATAAACGGCTATACCTGCACATGCCCAGAAGGATTCTTGGGTGAGTCTTCCAGCATGTAATACACAAACAGCACAGACTGTTTTAGAGTCAGAAACTCTTAAAAGAATGTTTGTTTTTCAAGAACGAAAAAAAAATGTAAGAAAAATATGAGGGGGAAACAACTTTCCTTTTCAATACAGCCCTCAAACCCACTAGCAGTCAGGCTTCACCACATCTAACTATCAGTGTTGTCTATCTGCAGGTGAGCTGTGTGAAGTTAACATTGATGAGTGTGAGAGTCAGCCCTGCCAGAATGGTGGCTGGTGTGAAGACGGCAGGGCATCCTACACCTGCCACTGCCCTGAGGCGGAGCCGGGTGAGCTTCCTTGGGGAGGTTATCACTGTGATGTGAAACTGCATGGCTGCATAGACCATGTATGTCAGAATGGAGCCACCTGCCATCCGTGGCTGGAGGATGGAGAACATGGCCATACCTGCTTGTGCCCCCATGGCTTCTACGATGACCAGTGCTCTACAAGAACAACATTCTCCTTCTCAACTCCTGGATTCATTCACATCCAGGTTGTTCTAGAAGAAAGGACCCGCAGAGAAGTTGAGCACCCTGTTCACAGTGGTTTCGGGGTACAGCTACGCTTTCGGACAACTTTAACCAATATGTTACTCTTCTACAGAGGGGACATGGACAACCATCTGCTCCTAGAAATTTTAAATGGCGGTCTTCATGCAAAAGCCTTTTCTGAGGAGTCTGAACTGGATGTAACTTTTTCTGGCTTGGTTAGTGATGGAGATTGGCGGGATGCTCATGTGTTTGTGGATCACGAAGGTCTAGTCTTGGTTCTGAAAGGTCCTGGTTGTGACAGGGATGGATGCAGAGTGACAGATGGTGATGCAGATGAACCCGTTTTCCAGCCCTCTGAAGCCTTCAGTAATATTTACGTCGGTGGAGCACCAGAGAACCTTTTAGAGTACTCTGTAAGTGGTACAGGGTTCATTGGATGTATGGAAGACCTGATGATTGACTCGAAGCCTGTTCTACCCCAAACACTTCCAGAGGACCAAGGCCATGAGCTGGGATGTAGTAAGACTGAATGGTGTAAGCCTGATCCCTGCTATGGACATGGACGCTGTGTGGACCTGTGGACCAGCTATCAGTGTGACTGCTACCGTCCATTCTACAGTGAGAGCTGCTCTGATGGTAAGAACAAGCCAGTTGTTCTGGCAAATCTTATGTTTCAAGCTTGTAAAATCTTGCTGAACTGGTTCTTATAAGTGCAGTATTTGGATATACTTTAGATTACAGCTCACACAGTTTATATGTGGTACCAATAATACAGTAATAACAAGTAAATACATGCACTAACAAAATGATTGGGATCCAGGCACACTGGCTGCATTTGGATGCTTTTTTCTTATTTAACAGATAAGAGGCAAAATTCCCGATTACAATATTAATCCTAATAATAATTCTCATGGTCACAATGATACGCTTTTTTGAGGTATATAAATCTGCTGAAACATTTGATTTAGCTTATAACCTTCAGTTAATACATATTTCATATGGATGCGTTTGTTGAGAAAAAGTGATTGACTTGTTAAACTGAAGGGAATTGACATATTGAAATTTATCTTACAATTGAAGATCAGCAAAGTGCGTAGATGTTTCTGACTCAGTTTTGGGGGATTCTTTTAGAGGTTTAAAATAAGATGTCAAAAACAGGATATTGTAAAAGTTTAGAAATTGAGGCAACAATTGCAAATAGAAAGTGACTGCGAAATGTGACAGATGTAGACAAATGGAGTTAAGATGCACATGACTAGAAAGATTAAAATAAAATGGATTATTAAAGTGCCTGCTATGGCTCCACTACTTCATGTTTTGGGGCCAAGGTAAAAAAAAAGAAAAGAAATTTGAGCCATGTCATGAAGAACACTTTCCAGCAGAATAATGAACAGTATAATGATAACTATAGCCAGCAGTAGCAGTGATCCAGGGGTCTAAGCAGATTACTAGCATGTGAGCTATTAGCGTTTGTTGGCCACAATGAGCAGTGCAAAACATATCACTTGCAATAATTTCAACATTGTAGAACACATTGGAGATTTTGTTTGAATGAAAAAAGGCTTAAAATTTAGCTCTGATACCTAAATCAGAACATTTTATGTATCTACTCAGTCATGACCCCAGATCGTGCAAAGCAAACTTCATACAGATCGTTGCAGTCAGTTATGAGCTATAAAGGTATTGTATTTTTGGTCCCCCTTGCCATTAATTGCAATGTGCTCTATTACACAAGTTTACTGAAAACTCATTAACATGTGTTTAAAATTTCAGGATGGACCTAAATGCATTCATGGGTTACGACAACTTTTTAAAAATGCCCTATTTTAATGAAAACCGATTGCTTTATCGACACATTGAAATTTCCACAACAACGAAAGATCAGCAAATTTTGCAGATGATTCTGACTCAGTGTGGTTCCAAAGGTTTCTGACCAGATGTCAAAAACAGGTTTTAATGAAAATGGAGAAAAACGCAAAATTTGACATTTTTAGGGCAGACAACCAATGAGGCACAGAAGCAGATGAATTGAGAGCCAGAAATGATGAAAGACTTTTGAATCTAGGTAACTGCCAAAACAATAAACTTGATTGTTACAGCGCCACTTTAAGGTCAGTGAGTGTTATTGTATGCAGCCCAGTAGTGGGTGGAATTTACCCCAAGCAGCCAAAATATTTGTTTCCAGATATAAAATTTTTGCTGCACAAACACTTTCAGTGTAGAAAAAAAAAGAAGATTTTTAGCAGACTTTAACCCTTTATGCTTTGAACAAAAAACAATAAAGTTCCTGCAGCTTTGCTGCTTGACCCCTAATTAATACTGGCATTAAATGTTACTTTAATAGGATTGACTTTCATTGTGCACATTCTCAAAACGGGGAAAACTATCTCCTGTCTTGTTGGCTGGAAATAACCTCACCCTGCAATTATTTAACAAGTCCTTAGTGATTCTGAAAATACTTTATTTGTAGGTTTCTGGTAAACAAAATGTTTTTAACTGCATCTTTCCCAGCCCACTGGTGTCTTCCCCTGCATTTACACATTTGTGTAGGTGATACCCATTATTCTGTTGTTGCTTTATGTTATCACTGTAATTAGCCAAACAAAGTAATGTCCCTGGCAAAGTAATGTCTTGATGCTCTTAATTGATGTTTTTTATTTTATTTTTTTTAAAATTACATACACATCTATTTATTTACAAACGTATTTCTCTATTTTTAAACTGAAATTTATTTTGATCTCTAACTTTTTTTAATTGTCTCCTGACAGAATTCCCTTCATGGACTTACAGCCATGAGGACACATTGAGTTTCAGTACCTATGATGTTGGTAAGAGCCATGGAAGCAGCTTCAATGTGTCTTTCTTCCTGAGGTCCTTAAAGCCAGATGGGCTGCTGCTCCAGCTAAGGAGACCCACAGATGAAGACGGGGGAGAAGTCTACTTCTCAATCTACCTGGGAATGGGGAGGGTTTTTGTTAGCTCTCTGCCTAACAATGCCCCACTGACAGCTCCAGTGTTTGTGACCACTGGCGAGAAGCAACTTCTACAGATTGAAGTGCAACAGAATCAGGTGATTTTTGAGCATGCAGGCCTTCGCTATGGAATAGGAGAGATCCATGAAGTGAACATTGACAGTGGGGATCAGGCCTATATAGGAGGACTTCCAGGAGACTGGGACTCCGCTGTGTGGGGAGGACATTTCAAAGGCTGTCTGCAGGATCTTCGTTTAGACTCAGTGCACTTGGATGTGGATGACTGGAACAGCTCGACTGAAGAGGAAGTTTATTTACCAAGTGATACCGAAAATGTAAAAGATGGCTGCATTAGTGATGATACCTGCAAGGTAGGAAAAGCTTCTGTTATTGACTTTGTCCCTTAGTATTACTTAGCATTAGTGCTATGTGACCATTTTAGGGGCTACCTCACTGAAAGCTCATCCATCCATCCATTATCTATACACCTTAATCCTCACTAGGGTT